TTTCACAACACTAATTACTCTAGCGATACGATTCGATAACTTTTTGCATGAGTAAATATAAAATGTAATGTCAACACTTACCTTGCCAAAGCTGCCTTTGCCAATAGCACGTAATATTTGAAAATGATCAAAATTGACTATGGCCATCAGTTATTAGCATAAAAATTCGTTGCAGTTCATTAAAAAGGGAGATAAAAAATGAGAATAAAAATGAAATTTGGTGTATAAAATATTTGACAAAGTTAGACGGCTTATAACCTTAACCTATTTACATATGAGGACATAAGAACCAGAGTTGCTAAGTCCACTTTTTATGAAAACTCATATTTTGACAAAGGAGTCTAGATGTTTCGAAAATCATAAAGGATCTTGTTTTATTTATTCTCGTTTATATTGAATGAAAGGAAAATTTGCCAAGTCCAAAAGAAGCGACGAAAATCCGATAAGGCCAAAATAGTACGAAATCTTTTATGGAGATCGAATCCCTCTGATACGTATGGAGCTTTGCTTTGCTTTAAACAACCAAAATGATGTATTAAAAGTTTTCCGAAATATTTTAAGAAAATTGCTATAAGAGCATTTTTTTTCCTTTCCTGTAAAATTTTTAAAATGGGACTTAACAACTTTTCACTGTAAGCTGCATGTACATACGTACATATGTATATCTACAAAAACGCTAAAAATTCTAAGAAAATAGGCGTGTTTTTTTACACGTATACGTGTCTGCGCTTAAAATTTGTATAGCAGTAAGCGACAAACTTTATGTGCGCTTATGAATAGTTGTCAATAAAATCAAAATTACTTGTTTTCAAATGGAAATTGTCGATGCTTGTTTTTTCACACGTTAAGCGTAGATGTACATATATGCTTGTACAAAAAACACGACTAATATATCCAACGATTTTGATAACATACGTTAGGTCACTTGCGATGAGCAACAATTTTTTAGCTATGAATTTTAGGCAACATAAAAACTTTTTTTTTTGTATTGCTGTAAACTATATCAAGCTGATTGCTTTTGGATATAATTCATAGACGTACATATGTATACTTGAAGCCTCAAACAATTTTTGAATCAATTTGTTGCATAACTTTTGAGATATAGATATATTTTCATAGAAAAAATATTAAAAACAAGTGAATTTTTGTGTAATTTTTAAGAGGTGAAAAATTAATTATGTCATAATTTTGGAAGGACACCATATACTGGTTTGAAATTTAATGGGCAATTAGTACTTACGTGTACACTTAATTTGTAAAAGGTAACTAAAGTGTGCCCTAAAAAATAACTAAATGGCAATTAACTCAAAATTTGTAACTCTACAATTTTCAAAATTTTCGATTAATCGCGTATAGTTTTTGAAGCATTTCATTTTTAAAACTTGTTAAGTATGTTTTCTATTCTACAAACAATTACGAATAATTTGATATCTTTGCAAGAGGTGCGCTTTCTGGATAAACCAACTTTTAAAGATAAAATACTCTGCGATCTTGAGCGTAATTTTTATTCTGAAAACATCTTAATTCAGGGAACGTTTGTGAAAATACGTCGAAAAGATCTAAATCTTTTTATAACTACTAGTCCTTCTAACGTTACATACATATACCTGTAACATTTTTCAAAAAAATGTTCTCTAGAACTGTGTAAAAACTCTGATTTACTACCTTTAATGATGATTTTTTCGACAAAGCTTTTGAAAGGTGCTCTTACTTAATTGGAGTCTTCTAAATTCAATGGCGTCCCCAGTTTTGGTCGATTAGCTCCACTTTTCGAGCTAGCGGTACCTGAAACTTTGCTTAAGTTTTAACTATTTATAAAAAAAAATCCTTCAGTTTTGAAGATATTTTACTAAAATTTTGCACACGATTGTATTTTTATATTACCTTCACTATCTCTTAACATAACATAAAGCACGCACACAATTTATTATTCAGATATGAAGTGAGAGTTATAGCGCAAAAACACATATCTGAGTAATCAGTTGTGTTGGAGCTATATCTTAAAGTAAACCTATTTCGACCGTTATGTGCAAAATTTTAGAACTTCAAAACTGAGTGAGCTATTTAAAAACAAAGTTAAAATTTAATCAAATTTTAAAGTACCGTTATCTCGAAAACTGGAGCCCATCTGGTAAAACGGGGGATGTCATTGAATTTAGAACGTCCCAATTATGTGAGTTGAACTTTCAAAATCTTTGCTCAAAAATTTACAACTTGCACAGTTTAATTTGAAGACAGCTTATTGTGATCTAAATGTTTATTCCTCGTCTAACTTTTGAAGCACTTGATGAAAATGAATTACACTTATATTTATCGATTTATGAAGAGATTACGAATAGAATCATATATAAAACATAGGTGTGCCCACAAATTAAAAAATTAAACTTTTTATTTTGAAAGTGTTAATTTTTTTTTTAAGATTTGCCCATATACATACATACATATCAATTAATATTATGGCCAGGGAACGGGTTTTTAGGACCTAAAAACCTATAAAAAAAGGCAAATAAAATAATGAAATAGGCTGGAAAAGGCAAAATAAAATAGCGAAAAAGGCCGGAAAAGGCACTAGGTATTGCAAAAAAAGCAAAATAAGGCATTGAAAATAGACACAAAATACGAAGAACAATCAAAAAATACATTTATTTTAGAAATGTTTATAGTACAAGTAAAAAGAGAAAAGCTATGAACTAGTATCATTATATGAAAAATTTGTACTTTGAATCTTTGACTATTTTATCCTTTCGAGTTTCTAACTCATAAAACTTTAATCTGTATAGTTGTAGTAACATTTGAACCACAAGATGCATTTTGAAGTTTTCTGGCAACATTTTCATTCGATTTTCGCAATTTCCATAAAATCCGTTCCCTGATTATGACTTCTTGGCTTTTTTCAGTTTGTTAAAGCCTGTGGTGCCATTTTATGATTCTTGCCATATACATAGCTTCGGAAATAAACCCTAATTTTGTGCACACCTAAAAACCGTCTCTCGCACACAAGGACATTTAAAAAATTGGTAACCGAAAATTAAAAATTTTTCAATGGAAAAAGTATAGTATCATCGACTTTTATTGTTATATCTTTGCAAAATATTACTCGATTCTTTTTGAAAGATAAAATTTAGGGCTAATATTTTGATCAAGGATGCATCGTAACGTTAAGTTTCACGTTAATCAAATAATTTCAATCGTTTCGCTTGAAACATTTAGAAATATATTTGTTAAATCATTTATCAAAACAAATTTCGTTACGTTTTTAACCGAAACGAAAAAGTGCCGTTAATGTTGAAACGTTAATAGTTAAACATTTAATTTGAAGTGTGCTGGCAATGCCATAACAAGCAGTCAGCACCGTTGCCGTTTTGATACAATTGTATAATTTTTCGATTTTTTTTTTCTAAATTGTAAGATATGATACTTTGATACTTTTTTGTTCACAAATGTCCCATTTTGATACTTTTCACTGGTAGAGATGAATTTTTGAAAATTATGAATAATGTAATGGGTATTCATGGAAATGCGTAAATACCTCCTAATTATAAAATTGTATTTATTTGTTTTTGAAATAAAAGTTTACAAATAACAGTTTTGTGATACTTTTCCTGCTCGGCAACTGATCCTTTTTTTCAAGCTCGTGGCAACGCTGGCAGTCAGCTGTGTGGGGATTAGGGATGTTAATTTTTCGGCCTTTTCCGATCCCGGGATTTTCGGGAGGGCGTTGTCACAATGCCGTAATTAGTCCCGGGATTCAGATATTCATTAATTTTCAACAACTTGAATAAAAAAAAATTGCTTCTATATTGTTTGAGCAGCTCTCCTACCATGAAATAAATAATAAATAAATGAGTTTGAAACCTACTTTTTTTATGTAAAGTGGCGTTTTTACTTTTTTTTCTCTGACCGCAGGATTTATTTTGAAGGACTTTGTAATTGCGGAGATATGATTAATTCCAAAAATTGTTTAAAAAATTCAATGCAATATAGAATAAAAATATGGGCAACAAATGCAATAGGAAATTTCTTTGGAATTTAAAAAATTTTAATTTTTTTGATTCACACTCGCTTCAAGCTCGAGTACGATGTCTTCATCTGGCGACCATATCATGACTGTCATATTAACAGAATTGAACGAATCCAAAAATTCTTAATTCGTTATGTTTTACGATCACTACATTTTGTTGACCCTTTCCCATCTTACACTGCTAGATGCATGAAATGTTTATTTTCTAGATTAATAAATAAAAAAATAAATATGTAAATAAATCGAATCTATTGGAAAAATACATACACAAATATTCCGACGAATTGATAACTTCATCCTCATTTTGAAGGCGATTGAAAATAATTCTTATGTAATACGAGTAGTCCATCGAGTATACGTAAATATTCCATTCAATACACTTACTTACCATCGTCATCGTTCAACAGATGTGCGTCCGATCTGCTCGATGAATTCGCACCCATGCTGCATGTATTTGTTGTTAATCTACATATGTATGTACTATCTATGTATGAATGAAATGGATCGTGATTGTTTCACTCAGCAGCTTTCGTTTTTATGTGCAAGCAGCTTTGCTATTTTAAGTTGTACATAATCAGCTTGCCAATTAATGTTGTTAACGCAAATCGTTGCAAAAGACTGATGTGAATATGTTGACGTACGTTCATTTTATAATAGTTATGTAGAGTATAACTACTGAAGTCACTATTCACTACCAATAATCATCATAAACAGGATACTAATTACACATATTTAATTTAAGTTGTTTATTTGTGAGTGGACCACAGAAAATTTATTTTATTTTAGCATCGCGAATGCTTGACTTAGTTGATGATGTGTGTACGGCTTAAAATGAGTACTGCCCCTGGCAACCGCAGGAACGGCATAATTTTT